GTAAATCGAGAGCTTTGAATTTTAATTTTATTTTTGCATATGCAATCACACTGAACTCCTTAGTGGATTCTGAAGTTCAGAATTAAGCAGGTTCCCTTTTGTGCTGTGTAATCTGACTGCTGTCTTAACATCTTCACAGGTGAATGATATCAGAGGCCTGATGTCTCTACTTTTGTTTAAAAAGTCAGACTGTAAAAGAAAACCCCTTGTGCTCCATGTTTGATTTGAACATCTTTACCCTGCAGGTAGGGACTGGCAACACTTGAAGGAAACAGAAATGCATTTATTTTGTAGAAGAGCTGCTGACTTTGCACGGAACTGGGACCTCTTCCAGGTGGTGAAGCTGGCTGGCTAAAACCAGCCTTCATCCCAATTAGCTGATCATTGTGGCTTTAGTCACATCCTGTGCATCTTGACGACAGGAAACTATGGGTGTGGCTGAGGTCTTCGATCTCAACAAAATATCTTTATGGTAACTACAGATGCATGACCTTGTCTTGGTTACAGTGGATGCCTTTCCATACAAGCTTTATTAGACAGCGTGGTGGCTTACAGGTGTGAGTTTTGGTCTTCTAAGAATGCATTACAAATTTCCACAGTGACTGCAGAGCTGTTGTGTCATTAAAGTGGCGTTTATTTCCTTTACTGAGTTAGTATTAATCTTTTGATAAGTGCTTTATTGCACTGATTCAGCATTGCACAGCAGTTTCAAACACACTTTGCATGGCTCAGTGAAGCCACAGTAATGTTTCCTGCTTTTATTTTTTCTGTATGATGTGCCTCACAGAGTAGATTCTTGGTTTGAGCTATCAGAGCTTCTGCTAGAAGGTGATGATCTGAACAGGGGTAGGCATGAAAAAGAAATACATTGCATGTTCTAGAAACAAAAGGGAAATTGTATACTGGTGAATTGAAGAGATTTTTCAGAAATGGACCAGTTCAGATCTGTTTTATGAGCTCAGGTAGATGATGTATTCTGCTTATGAAGCAGACTTGCCCTCAGCAGTGTGAGAGTGGCTGAGTTGCAGCCCTCGAGGCGCTCAGCTCTGAGCTGTAGTCTGTCTTGTTGGGCAGAAATTCAGGCAGAGAACAAGGGAAATGAGAGCCAGAGTGCAGGCAACTCCTGCCTTTCATTAAATAAAATCCTGCAGATCTAAAAATCAAATCCCAATAGCTTTAATAGACATCTTTTTTGAATTTTTTGCACCCCAGCCTGTTATAAAATGTGGTGCTTGCTTGAATCTTTGTTTTAAAACAATGGAACTAATCTTTGTATTTTAAGAATGAGTTTTTGCTGCTGTTTGTTTTTGGCATATAAGGAGGTGCTTTGTAAACAAGAAAAATACAGTGCTCTACTATTCATTCTTCATTTTCAAAGATGTGCAGCAATCCTGGAAGGTTTGGATCCTTAAGTTGTAGGATTTATTTTCATCCGGTACTTCTGTTACTATAAAGTGAAAATTGTTTTCTTGTGCCTTTAAACTGGCCTTAGTTTTAGTCCTGTCTTCTGGCTCTCTTGAGTTTGCACGAGTTGCTTTTTCCCCAGAAAAACAGTTGAGTAAGCAGATACTGCAGTACTGAGAAGTGAACTCCAGGCAGCGTGACTGAACTGACGTGTGTTTGATACGTGCTTATTGTTGGAACTTTGAGATTGCTCTAAGGGTAGCACATGACTTTCCACATCGACAGCTGTTGTAAGACAGATTTTACTCAGTTCTGGTACTTTTTTCCTCGTGTCTTACAGCTGCATGTAGGGACTTGTCATTGCAGTGTTGCATGCTGCTGATACCGGGCATTTGCTTCAGTTTATTGACTCTTCAGAATGTAGAATACAACTTAAACTTCCTGTGGAGCTTCATGAGAACTGAAGTCCTGCAGAAGCTCAGAGCTCTCTTAATGTTAAGAGCTGTTAAGAAATGAAAAATGTCTAAGAAACAAAAGCACTGATAAGTGCTCGAGAAAAATCTTGAATTTTGGAATTGCCTGTTTATGTAGAGATAGGCAGTGAAACCTGAATGTTTCAAAATGCTAGTGTCAAAATATTGTGAAGTATTGCACTGCCATCCTTGGCAATAGGTCACAGGGTTCTTGAAGTGGGAACCAGGTGTGCCTGTCACTGCCCTGCTCCTCCCTCATCAGGCGGCCTGACTGAGCAGTGCTCGGCTGTGCTGGAGGCTGCTGCTGTGCTTCCCTGCTGGGAATAAGCATGGTGGCTGCTGGTGGCACTTCCATTTTGCTAAAGACTGTGACTGAGCTAATAGCATCATCCTGGGTCTTAGGGAAGGGATCAGTCAGTGGGGAATGAAACCAAATAAGATTGCACAGGCTGGTGTGTGTCCTGTACAAAGCTGGAGTCACCCATGCTTCAGTGGTACTAGTAACAGCTTGACTTTGTGAACCTTGTTGTGAAATTGTGTTACATCTACTCTTGTCTTGACAGCCTGTGTTTCTGTAATGTCACAGTGTGTTCCAACAGTTGTGACTGAAAATGCAGAAACGGGGTACAGCTGATGGTTTTTCAGTGTTATTTTCCACTTCCAACTCTCTTGAAGCTCTTTTTTAGAGACTAGTGTACTGCTTAAGCAGTTCAGTGTATGCCACTGCTAATGCTGTGGGACATAAGACTGTAAATGGGCTAAGCAGGTCGTAAGTTGGTATTCCATTAAACTTGCTTCAAGAACATGAAAATATTTAGATGACTACACCAGCATCCTTTTGCTGCAGGATTTAAATGGAGATTGCTGTTTTGCATGTTGACCTGGAACCGTCTTTTTCTATCAGAGTGGCTGTCTGACTTACCTATGTGCTCGGTCATCTGCATATCTGAGCGAGTTAATATTTCAAAAACTGAGGAAGTGACAACTCCACAGAGAACGATGCCATTTTAATCTCAGTCAGCATAAAAGTTGCATACCTTTGATGAAAAATGAATGTAGCATTCCTTGTGTGATGCTTACAAAAATATGGCAGTAGAAAGCATTCTAATTAAAGAATGCTTTTTGTATTGAAGTGCTATAAGTCTCTGTAACTTTCTCTGTCAAAAGGAGAACTAGGATGGGTAATGCTTCTGACTGTAATGGTGTATTAGAGGAGGCTTGGGCTGTTAGAACAGCTCCAGAACATCCGGTGAGTGTCATTGCATTAAAATGAACTTAAGTCAGTCTATCTTAAAATAAATTGATGTTTTTAGCATTTACCATAAGCCACCAGTGACTCGTCTGTGGCACTAGGCACAATGTGAGTGGAAACTTGTGTGAGCTTGACTTTTGTTGTAAATAGGTCTGCAGAGTAATTTAATTTTGTTACTCATGATTTTTTATATCTCAAGCAGTGTTGTGCAGGGTACTTAACCATGACTGCATTTTGCATTTCTTCCTAGTGTTGAATGGAATCTTTGCATCTCTATCATTAAAGTGTGTGTTGCTGGCTGTTGGTGTTTGAAATGGTTGCTGGGCTATGGGAAGCTTGGATAATGCTCAGGAGCAGTGAGACCACATCTGGGGGTGTCCATCACTGCCCAGCTGATGGCTTCACAGCTAGAGTGGGAATTTGGACAGAGCAGCATGTTCCTTAATGAGCCTGGTTCTTGTTGGGACCAGGTATTTAGTCGCTTGTTTAGCTTTTAATTTCAGATATTTTGTTCCTAACTTTTCAAATCTCCTGCTTTTCAAATGGTAATGATTTTTTTTCTACAATGTCTCAAAATACTTCTCTGCTTAGCAGAAAGCCTCCAAAATAAGTATGCAACTTTAGATGTCCGCTTAGGTTTGAGTTGTCGGGTTAGGTTTGAGAAAGCAGTGAGAGAAATGACCCTAAAATGAATGTGGTGTTGCTCTTCTGCCCATCTCTTATGCTGCTGCATGCGTCAGGGTATTTGGGATTCAGTGTGGCCATGTGTAGGTGGTATTTAGTGCTGCTACTGTGAGTTTTGTGGGCATCCCACTTCATGGAGCAGAATGCAGTTTTCATATTGTCTTCTTGGTAATGTAATGAGGTTAAATATATCCTTTTTGAAACGGAACGTTGGTGCTTGAAAGGTGTAAATCTTAATAGATGGTAACTTGTAAACTTGCTGCTATTTATATTTCTAATACCTCCAATACTCCCTTGATTTAGAAAATGTGGCGTGTATTTATAGATTGTTGTCAGAGCAGTCACCAGCAACTGGCATCATGATGATAAGATTGAGGAATTCTGGCAGTATTTTCAAATTACCTTTTTGATGCTATAATTAGCTTGTGCTATTTGTATGAATTATCCTTGTCAGCAACTTCTGTGTGCAAAACTTTGGGGAAGAAAATGAAGAGAACAAAAATGTGCTTCTTACTTCAGCTTATAAAGGGCACATTTGTGCATACTTACAACACACACAAAGTTACTATGTGGTTGGTAATAACTGCGAATGTTGGTTGAGTTCTTGCTTCTGCTTCAGGTAGGATCATCTGCTGTATTCAAAGAGATGCACATGAGTAGCAAACTGTCATCCAGCTTCTGAAGCAAGACATCTGAAGTGTGGAACCCTGCTGGAACTCTGGCTGGTTAACACATCCATGCTCACCTCCCGGATTCGGCTGTGTCTGAGTTCCAGCTTTGGAAGGGCTGGGAATAAGCTACTTGCATGATTGTAGGCTTACTACAAACTTTACAGTTCCAGAGATGATGGTCATTGATCTGAAGGCAGTTGTGCTGCCTTTCTTGGAGCTGTTTTATAGAACATACCAGTTTTTTCTAAGCTGGATACTAAGTCTGAAATACCCATTTGATGCTGTGTGAGGGGGGGAAAACCCAATTCTTTAAAACAAACAAACAAACTTTTAAAAATCTTCACATAAAGCAGTAGATTTCAAGTAGGTAAGCTCCTATAAGCTCCATATGTTTCAGACAAGGACAAGAGTTCATAAAAAAGGGCAGATAATGTTGTAACGCTGCAAACAGTAGAGCATATTGTGAGTAAAAACTGTTCACAGACAGTCTTACAACTTCTTTGTTTTTGTTTTTAGGCTAAAGAAATTTTGACAAAAGAATCCAATGTACAAGAAGTGCGATGTCCTGTCACAGTCTGTGGAGATGTGCATGGACAATTTCACGACCTCATGGAACTCTTCAGAATTGGAGGCAAATCACCAGACACAAATTATTTGTTTATGGGGGACTATGTTGACAGAGGCTATTACTCAGTTGAAACAGTCACGTTGCTTGTAGCTCTTAAGGTAATTTTTCTTCTGTAGCATCCAGTATAAAATGTGTAATTACTGTCCTGACTGCATTTGATATCAGTTATGAATTTACTGCGAAGGTTTATAAGTAGAAAAACTGCAATGTTGGCTGTGTTATCAAAAATATTTTTTACAAACCTATATAGATTTAGTATTTCTGAAAAGCCTGTATAACTTTTTCTAAAGGGAGCTGTGCATTTATTTTTATCTATAAATGTGGAAGTACGAGTCTTTAAAAATGTGAGAGAACAGCTTAGTGCACAGGGATAGTGAAGTCCACTGGTAACAGTGGATAAAACCTGTACTTCATCTCAAGGCAACTGAAAACCTGCATCATTTAGGTGTTTTTTTTTTTTCCTTTAAGGTTGTAATTTAATTTTTTCTTATTGCTTAATTGGCATATTATGGGGAGGGGAAGAAAAGCAAATTGTGGTTTTGGAAAGTGCATGTTATCGTGTCCCTAAAATATCTTCCACTGTTATGTTTAGGTCCGTTATCGTGAACGTATCACAATTCTTCGAGGGAACCATGAAAGCAGGCAGATCACACAAGTATATGGTTTCTATGACGAATGTTTAAGAAAATATGGGAACGCAAATGTTTGGAAGTACTTTACAGACCTTTTTGATTACCTTCCTCTAACTGCCTTGGTGGATGGCCAGGTAGGTTGAACTTGGACAAAGTTAAATGTTGCTGGTTGTGAAGGGAGCTATTAGCACAGTATTCACTGAGCTCTCAGCTTGAAAATAATCTTTTGAAAATTTTTCTTAATTGTTCATACTAAGCAGTTATAAATTTTTGTATTAATAAATGTAAACAACTGAAATTTCATGATGTGTCTCTTTCAGATTTTCTGTCTACATGGTGGCCTCTCTCCATCAATAGATACGCTGGATCACATCAGAGCACTTGATCGCTTGCAGGAAGTTCCCCACGAGGTATACTGAAAATTAATTATCTTAATTCACAGTGCAATTCATGATTCAGCATATGTTGGGCATTTTAATATATGCAAAGGCAGAAAATCAGGTTCAAAATGAGGTACAATTGGAAAATTGTCTGTCTTGCCTTACTAGTCTTCTGCAGGAAAATTAAGGGACACGTTCTTGCCTTAAGTTATAAAGCATATTTTAATATCTCAGAGGTGAAAACTGCTTCTGTGAAATTTTTTCATTAAAATTAACTTCCTTGTTACTATTTTAAGTTTTAACTACACTAACTATTATAGCTGATAAGTGAGGTTTTTTCTTACATTTTCTTTCCAAGCCTTGAAGAGATGCTGCAGTAAGGTTTGCAGGGGCATGAGTGTGGAGGTTGTGTTTTTTGTTCTTGCTTTTTTTTTTTTTTGCTTCAATTCATGGAATACTTTCCAAATCTCTTACAGGGTCCAATGTGTGACTTGCTATGGTCAGATCCAGATGATCGTGGTGGCTGGGGAATTTCTCCTCGAGGTGCAGGTTATACGTTTGGACAGGATATTTCAGAAACCTTTAACCATGCTAATGGCCTTACATTGGTTTCAAGAGCTCATCAGTTGGTAATGGAGGTAAGCAGCAAAGGCTGTGTGTTTAAGCTGTTGACAGTGTAGTTGTTGTGGTGCCTGAGATGCACACTTGGCCTCTTTACAAGGTAAAGGGATGTGTGTGGTTTCTTCTTAGTCTCTGGTTGTCCCTAGAAGTTAACCTCTAATCATCAAAACCAGAACCCAAACCTAGCTTTAAAAAGATTGTGTAATTCAGAATTGGTATTTTAATTTTTAACAACGTAGTGGAGAATTCTTGCTGTTTTTTAATGTGCTTATCTGATGCTTACTGGGAAGATGTTATATGCTATGGTGCAATTCCTTTTTTCCCTTTTCAGTTGAGAAGAGAAATAAACATACAGCCTTAATGTTATTTAAAACTTCAGAGCCTATGTAGGGTTTTGCAAGTTGAAATTCAGTTTAGTAGTCAGTTATGGGGTGCAGCACATGAATATGGTTTTCCTAAATAGTTTATTTTCCTCTGCAGGGGTACAATTGGTGCCATGATCGGAACGTAGTAACAATTTTCAGTGCTCCAAACTATTGCTACCGTTGTGGCAACCAGGCTGCAATTATGGAACTTGATGATACTTTAAAATACTCCTTGTAAGTATGCTTAAAAATGAGATCTGTGTTGCCTGTGATTTTAAGATTTGATAAGTGGTATTATGCTACAGTAACTGTTTATGGTTTTAAGGTATGGTTTTTGTCCTGTGCACATTCAGAAGGTGAGGGTAGAATTGTTGTGTTAGTGATATCTAAAAGCACTACAGTTTTACGTTGGAAATAGTTGTTGACATCTAGGCAGATGTCATTAAGGTCATTACATACAATAAAGTGAGAGTTTAATGAAATACGACAGAGGTAAGTAATTTGAAAGTCAGAATACTGTCAGATGTGAGGTAGTTATGCCCACCTGTAAGTCTAGGGGAAGTGACTTTGAATGTGGTTAGGACACTGACTTTACAAAGCTGTTATAGCAGTTTTACTAATAAATGAGGAATTGTACACAGCATTGTGTAAATTACCTCTTTGATAATTACTGGAGACTTTTAATGTCTAGATGTATACTGATATCTGACCAGTTTGAGTCTTAAAGCCAAGATTTTTTTCCTTCAAGTCCACAGAAGTAATCCTAAGATGAATTTAAATTAATTCAGAAAAAAATACCTGCATGTAACTGGAATGCTGTCACTAATCCAAATGCTTTTCAGTTTGCAGTTCGATCCAGCGCCGCGCAGAGGTGAACCGCATGTTACTCGTCGCACCCCAGACTACTTCCTGTAAAGAGAGTATAGACCTGTACAGTATTGCCATGAACCATATGTTGACCTAAAGAAAATGGGAAGAGCAACAGTAACTCCAAAGTGTCAGAAAATATTTAACATTCAAACTTGTTTTCACATGGACCAAAAGACGTGCCATACTCAAATACAAAGCCTCTTGTCGTCAACAACTGTGACCACTTTAGAATGAACCAGTTCATTGCATGCTGAAGCAACATTGTTGGTCAAGAAACCAGTTTCTGGCATAGCGCTATTTGTAGTTACTTTTGCTTTCTCTGAGAGACTGCAAATAATAAGATGTAGACATTAACACCTCGTGAATACATTTAACTTTCCATTTAGCTATAGCTTTATTCAGCATGACTGTAGATAAGGATAGCAGCAAACAATCATTGAAGCTTAAAGAACATTTTTAAAATAAGTACCAAGGCTTCATATTTGTTCTGAAACTGCTTGTTTGTTTTTATTTTCAGGGAATACTGTTTAATTTAATTGTATTGATTTTTTTTTTTGTCTGCACTCAGTTCCCTTTTCCACTCTTTGCCCAACCATATTGTCCCTTGTAATGTCCGAGCATAGTGAATTACTTTGAACAGAACTGTTTTTTTCTGTAAAACAATGTTACTGCAGGACAGAGCTGCAGTGTTTTTCATAATAAACTTGTGAACTAAGTATGGAAAAATGTCAAATTCTAATTGCATCTCAGGTCAGCTCTGGTTTAATAAACTAATGCACAGCTGGATAGGTTTTATAAACCTGGATAGAAGTTTCTACCATAAATAACGGAAAAAAATGAGGTGACTGAAGTGTGCTGGAAAACTGTGACCTTCTGAATTCTATCCCAGGGAGATGTCTGGTCCTGTGATCTCATGTAGCTGAGAACAGAGCTCACTTATTACTGAAATGTTGCTCTCTTTTTTTCCCACTTGGTGCTCTGTGAAATATTCGAAAGTAGAAAAATACAAGATAAATTAACTGATCGAGCATGGCTTTTTTTTCAAGTGTAAATCTAAGTTTGAGTTATTTCCATTGTAGGTGCTAATACTTCAGAAAGAAATCTGAAAAACTAAGAATAAAACCAGTTTTCTAAATATTAAAGGAATAACTTGAAATTCAGTACTATGTGTATTGCCCAAGCTTCCATTACAAAAATAAGTGTGATTTGTGTTAACTTCTGTTTAAAAACTTTCCTTTCTACTAATTGAATCTGATAATTTTATTCAAAACACATTCAGATGATTTGCATTAAGGCTCACACTTGCAACTTCTTATTGGACATATCTTAAAAGAACTTACCTGGCTGTTCTATTGAAGGGCCCTTGCTTTCATACTGTTTAAAAGACTGGTTTTTGAGCTCAGTGTATAGACTGTGTGACAAAATAGAGAGGGTTTTTTTTAATACTGCTGCCTTGTGAGAGAAAATATAGAAGTGTTGCAAGTGTGCAGGCCTGCTTTCATACACTTTTTTGGACTTCCTTGCTTTTTTGCTTTTCTGAGGTTTTCTCATGAAGGGCTGCTTAACTGTCAAACTTGCAAGATGCTTCCTTTCAAATTCATTAATTCAGTGCCTTTTCTGAAAGGCTTGAGGGGTTACTTTTTTCTTTAGCAAAAGTTCTGCCTTCAGGTAGAGCTCCAAACTATTGCTGGAAAGCCCAGTCCTTCTGAATTATGACCTCTTACAGGGAGAAGTGCATTCTAAAAATAATGCTCACATGGAGGTGTTCCTTCTGTTATTGTTTTCTTACTAGTATGTTGGGAGCTTTTGCTTTGATCACTAACAAAAAAACAAGTTCCTTTGCTTTAGAGAGAGTTCATTAAGTTCCCATTCCTCTTGCTTGCCATTCTCTGTATTTGTGCTTTTGCAGATAGAACTTTTACCTTCACTGACACCTTCCATGCCTTTGGCACGGGACATCCCCTGCTGCAGTGGGAAGCAGTTCATTTGTTCTGTTTCTGTATGCACGTACAGGCAGTTGTTAGTAAAGTCAACGGAGTATGTGGACAGTCACTCCAGGTTTTGCACTTTTCTCCATAATTATGCTGTGACTGGCCATTTGTGGACTTTTGTTTTTAAGAATATCACATTGTGAACAAGAAATTTTTGCTCTGATGGGGATTAGTATTGCTGTTTGCCAGCCAGCTAGGACGTGAGATTCAAGAGGAAACTTCAAATAGAAATAATGACCATCCAGTTTTTCAGCAGCTGGCTGACTAGAAGTTCACATAAGCTTCACTTCAAACTGTGATGCTACTGGCACGTAAGTAGGATTTTGGTTTGTTTCAAAGATCAGTATTGACCTTTCCTTCTGCACTGCAGAGACTGGTAGATTCCTTGGAAAGGTGATGTAGGAGTAGCTCAAAGTCCTGTACCTTCATCATTCAGTCATGCTTTTTACCTGAATTTGTATATCAGATTGAAGTAAATGCCTCTCACTTGTAGAGGTCTGTTCTTTCAACTAAGGAATCATTAAGTCAGAATTGAAGTATTAATACATATACACATACACAAGAAGGCCTTTGGTAACTTCCATTCTGAAAGGAGAAGATGAAAGCATTTGGAACATACAGTTTTGCAGGTTTTCTTTCCTTTGTTCTCAGTCTTTCTTTGCCAGCCCCTACAGGCTGCCTGTCCCTTGGCAGCCCCCAGGGCTCAGCTGCCCTGCAGTGCATCCCACAGCCCTGCTGCCTCAGCTGACATGGGCTCCTGTGTGTAGGTGCCTGTTTTCTCCAGGGTAAATGGACACTTGTGTTTGTAGGCTCAGGCTGAAGCCGGATAGTTTCCAGCTGCTCACATTTGCATACAAGCTCAATATCACTGCTCTGCTGTTTTAGATCTGACAATACCTGTAAGGTTTCTTGATGCACAGGCAAGTGAAGATGGACAGAACTACGTATCTTGTTTTATCTACCTGGATTCTGCCTTGGAAAAGAGGTGGTGAGCGTACATATTGCTGATGAAAGCTCTGACATTTCATCTGACTGTACACCAGTCTGATTAGTATCAAAGGTCGGCCTGGATTTTTTTTTTCCACAGTTGCTGAAAGTCACATTGATAAAGATTGTATGGTGAGGGCCTGGGACAAAGTCTTTCCTTAGCAATTTGAAAATTCAGTCTGAATTCTAAAGGCCAGCTGTACATTTTTCTCATGGACAGCACAAAAAGAAGGTACAGAAGTGCTCAGTTTATTTTTTGCATCTTCATAGTTCAATAAATACATCCCTGTGCTCCTCCCTTTTTACTCCTTCATTTCCTTACTAATAACACCACAAGCTCCTGCTGTAGGAGAAGCTGTGATGTCGAACAGGACAGGGCTGAAGGAGAAATGCACCTGTTTGTTCTGGAAAAATGGTCTGGTCTGTAAGAAGAGGCAAGTGTTATCAAATGACCACTCTGAATTTCAGATGAAGCGACACTACGTTCAGTTAACTGAAGGTGTGGTTCCACTCATCCCTTTCTTGTATATCAGCCAAACACTTTTTAATTGCTTCTTGCTTTACGTGTATGCTGAGAGTTTGTGGTAATTTAGGATTTATTTTATTTATTTCTGGTCTGTACAAATTCTGCATTGCCATTCTCTCAAGGTTGTTGCAGGTGTCTTGCCCAGACATACCGTCTGACTGCTTAGCTATGGTTGTACAGTGATGCCTGCACTGTGTCAGTTCTCTGCATGTTCCAGGCAGGATAGTTTGGAAACAGGTTAAGTAAAAATTACATTGGACTTCATACAAATCTTTCAGGGCACGTGAACACACTAAGAAAGCCCTGCAGAGTAAGCAGCTGAGTCAGCTTACTGTGTTTTTTTTAAAGTTTTGGTGCTCTAATTCATTTGGCTGTGCTCCTTCTGGATGAGAATAAAGACAAAGTGTTCTCTTGAGCAAGGGACTTGAGTTCTTTGGCATATATCCAGGAAAAGAAAGGCTGAAACAACACTTTAGGTTTTAAATTAAGCAGTGCAACATGTTTTAGCCTTTTAAAACCTGTGCTGTGGTTTAAAAGCATTATTCCTTAAGGTGAGTTGAGCCTGATCTCAATTACTGTATGGTAAGCAACTGCTTATAGATGAAAATGAAACTGATAGCTTCTAGTATACAAAACACAGATTGCTAATAGTATTTAAATGCTTACATATATATTGCTGGCATACAGAAAACATAAAAGAATCACTTTTAGAGAAGGAGGGTACCGTGGTACTGGAAAAGATGAACTAGAGAGGCTCCAGAACATCTCTTCTTAGAAGGTTACAGGACTAGACCAGAAAAACACACATGAGCTGCTGTTGGTGCTAGTGCTGCTTCACACTGAGATGCATTCCAACCTGTGTTCTTGTGTTTAAAGCAGCATCTCACCTAGATGTAGCACATGAGATCCACAGTAGATGTTTATCTCATTACCTCATCATCAAACTGCTGTGAAGATGTCAGGACTTTAGTTTCGGGTTACAACATGAACTAAAGATAAATGTAGGTGTGTCCAGTGGTCTCAAATCGGCATCTGTAAGATGGTATAAATTGAACTAAACATTTATAACTTAGTCCTCTTATTGACCTCTGTATCTGTATTTCTCATCAGATCACCCCTAAGTGCAACTGTTCTCTTAAAAAAGAAACAAAAAACAGAGGAGCTGTCTGAAATGGGATTATACATTTAAATACGAAGTGCTGAATTGTCAAATAGGACTCTACTTTTTAAAACAGTAATCTCATGTTTGAGGGAAAGACTTTAGCCTGTTTTTCTGCTGCCTGTACTTCTCAGGTGGTTTGAGACCACCACCACCATGCTGGTTAATTGTAAGACTGTCAAAACCCATCTTTATTGTAGCTGTCAGTGTAAGTTCTGTGGATACAGGGAGGCCCTGAAGGAGGGTTGCTGGGAAGGAGCCTCTGCTGCTCATTCTGTGCCTGACCCACTTTACAGTTGGCTTTGCTCGTGCTCTGCCACCGCCTTTATCCTCAGGGAAGCGGGATGCTGCCTGGCACTGCCCTGGGTGTGGGTGAGATGTGTTGGCTCTGAGTAGCTGCTTCGGCTTCTCCTTTTCAAATAGAAAATTTTGTGTTCCTGAGGTTTATCCAGTGTTAGTTCAGCCATCTCAGCACTTCACTGCACTGTCACTTTTCCACTTTTTTAAAATGTTTTCAATTAGCCTGACTTGTGAAATATAGTACGTTTATTCCCATGGACTTTGAAACCTTAAAGCCTCTGCTTTTTATCATCCATGGCATCAGTACCAGCCCAGAATCTGCCTTTTGGACTTTGAGCAGCTGCAAGGCTGTGTAACAGCATTGTGCAGCCACAGAACTAGGGCTGAGGGCACCTCTGGATACCTCTGGCACCTGCTGCTCCAGCAGGGCCACCAGAGCTGCTGCCTGGCACTGTGTCCTGCTGTGTTTGGAGGTCTCCATGGAGACCCCAGCACCTGTCTGGGTACCCATGTCCATGCTTCATCACACACAGTAAAGAAAAACCCTATAAAGCCAACTCAGTTAACTGAAATATCACAGTCAGTGCTCAGAGATCTTCACAAATTCCTGCTTGAAGCTGTTCTGAAGGCCAGTTACAGTAACTCACTCCTGTTCTTGCTCTGGCAGCCACATATTCCTTACAAGCCAGGAAGTGCAGCATGGCTCCAATTCTGTGCCATGTGGAATTAGGCACCCTTCTGCTAACCATGCTGGAAGTGGGGAGCTGGGTGGCAACCCAGCAGCATCTTCCTTCCTGTGTAGAAACAGGGAGTGCAGGATTGAGGGGTCCAAATTATTTCTGTGGATGCTAGGGCAAAAATGATACAAAACCCAGTATGTACATGGAGTTAGACTGCAGATGAGGTTAGGAAAAACACTAAATATGCTTGAGATATGTTTGCCTTTCTTTTGAATAACTTTCCTCTCATCTTTAATCTTTTATGCTGTCTCAACTCCTCATAGTTACGCAAGGAGAGCACGTAAATGTCATCTGAGGGAGAAACAGAAGCTGATAAAGAAGTTGATATTGCCTGAGACAATTTGGTTGAGTTTTATCAGCCTACTGCTATTACATCATCTAAACTGCAGGCTCTGCTTCCCTCAGTACCTACCCACTGCCCTGCTTTACTGGGGCACAACTTGCACAGAAAGCAACATCCTAAGGATGTTTCTGTTGCACAGGTTTTGATGAAGTGGACACACAATTTTTCTGGAATTTAGTGGAGACAAGGATTTTCTTTCTTTTCTGCTGCATTGTTGCAACGCTGCTTTAAATAACATTGGCACAAGCACAAGGAGCTCAGCAGTATTTTTCCAGCATCTGTATCAGACAAAAAAAAAGTGCTTGCTTGCTCTAAAAAATGTTCCCTACCTTCTGCATTCCTTGAAAAAAAGACCACTCTAGTGAGTCTGACAGCCTGTGCATACAGACCAGCTTCTTGTCCAGGCTCAGTGGTCACACCTTGCTTCCCAGCAGTGACATCAGGCTCTGCCACAGCAGCTGTGGTCTCCTGAAGTTCAGTCCTTGCAGACTCACCTTCCTTTGGTCAGCAATGCAGACTGAGTCCTGTGATGGTGGAGCACAGCTGAGGTCTTTCAAGCCTGGTTCTCTCTAGGCTTTGATAATCCCATGTAACACTTGTATTAAAAAAACCTCATCTTTTTACATCATGTTATTTCCATAATCTCTAAATCACAATCACTGCTAACAAAGAGCATTTCTCCGTCTATAAAAGTGCAGTGTGAAGTGGTTAGGTTTTTTTTTGGGGGGGAGTGGGGGGATGGGAAGGGGGCACAGATAAGAGAATATGTTTATTTTTAGCTAAACAGCCAAGAGGAATAGCTGCAAACAGTCCAAGGTTCTGGACTAATCCAGTGCTGTGTCCAGGAGGCTGCTCCCTGTTGCTAATGCCATGTTCAGTGTCAGAACTCCCTTCCCCCTACGGCTGCGCAGCTGCTCAGCTGGCTTCTGCCCACAGCCCAGTGATGCTGCAAGAATGTAGGTCAGATCTCTTCTGGATCTGATAAGTGTTAAATTAAGCTTATGCTGATCTTGGTTGCTCCAATCATTTCATGTATTTGCTACAGCATTAAGCTTCCCCCTTCTTCTGAATTCTCAGCAGTAAAAGGTCCTTAATTGTGATTTATCTGAGACTGATACCTAGTACAATTACCTTTGCAACTCAGGATGGTGATGCTTAGGTTTAGGATTATTTGCATTGGAATGATTACCTGTGCATGTAACAATTGAGATTGGTCTCTCTTTGGTCTCTCTTTTTTTTATTAAATCTTGTTCTTTGCAGCTTTACTGAAGGATGAGTCTCCTGTGTTGCTAATACTGACTTGCAGAACTTTGACCATCACCATGAAAAAGACAGCAAAAAGCATTCAGACTAGCTTTGAGAGATTCCCTACACGATATGTAGGGCACAGTGGGAGGTGGCCTTCACGTGATTACAGCCTATCTGTGACAGTCGTCTGCCACTTCTTAGTTTGCTGTTTTTGTTGCTTTAACTTTCTCAGGCTTCTAATTCAACAGATATATTCAAAGTCCACTGCAAACTCAATTTTCTCTTTGGCACCTTCAGTGAGTTTTATCAAGTGTAATGCTTAATCCCTTTGAATTATAAACCAAGCACAGATCCTGTTTAGGCATGGAACTTTGCCGTCTGCCTGTTTCTAGATTTTAATAATTTGCCTTGTGTGGAGAGCAAACCCTTCCACTGACTTTGGTTTGCAGGCTGAGAGAATTTGTCCTTACTGATTGAACTTAGGCAGTGTCAGGAAAAAGTATTTAGGACTTGCAGATGTTTTCTGTAGGCTGCTTTCTGTCACCATCTGATCCTCTAAATCAAGGAGCATTAAATAATTTAAAAAGCACATTTAAAGAAAATAAAGGTAGTGTTATTTCTTTTAATGCAGCGAAAGTCTTTTTTTTTTTTTTACAGTGAAGCCATGAGATGAAGGGATTTTAGAGGAAGGAGGTAAATGTGCTGAGGCATATTTGGGGTATGTATGTGTATGTAAAGTCCCTGTATACATAAATCTGTATTATACACACAGGATAATTAGGTCCTAACGAATTTCAGACAACAGCTTACCTAGTTACTACCAGCAGGATCACGTTAGTGGTGATGTGCTGTGTGTAAGCAGCACCTGCCACCTCCAGCTGTGCAGTCACCTGCTGTGAAGGGCTGTGGAGGTGTGTGTCCCACACACAGAGACTGGGAGGCTCAATTGAAAATAATCTGAACAGGATTAACTCCTCTCTACATCAGTCTGAGTACCTACTGAGCTGCTGAGCACCCAACGCTGAGCAATGCGGTTCATAAGACAGGCATCCGCCTCCAGCAGCGCTCTGCAGCTTTTAGAGACCCTCATTTAAGGGACGTGACCAACACAGATGACTTCATGCTCACCTGGGCTGCGTGGCTGACAGCACGCTGCCTGCAGCCAGCAATCCCTGCAGCCTTCCCTCTCCCAGCCCAGCCTGCTGCTTTCTGCCTGCTGAACGCCGCGAGGCCTGCTGTCTCAGCGGCCGTCGCTGAGGTGAAGGCACAGGACTAAGAAATACCTGAGGAGAAGGGAAGCCCCAGCTGCGCTCCGCAGGGCGCTGCCATGCGCTTATCGGGGTGTGGAGCTGCGCTGCTTTGCCAAAAACACGAACAGCGATCCTGAGCGGGCTGTCGGTGGATAAATAACCGCTCGAGAAGTCACGCACGCGGCGTCCTCGCCACATTTCAGTCACGCAGCCCAACGCGGCCCTCAGTGCCGGCCCTGCGGCCCTGCCGCCTGGGGGCGCCGCAGCCGTTGTTCCCGCGCGCCGCTCCCCCGCCCATTGTGAGGCGATGCCGTGCGACCGCGCCACTGCCTGACTAAAACTGACGGCTTCCGTCGGATCTCCCCGCTGCGCTGCCGCTCCGTTTCCCTCCTTCCCTATCTCAGTGCATACGGTACGGGGCTTTTCGTACCACGCTTGCTCTCGGCGCGGTTTGGGAGCGAGAAGCGGAGGGCCTCGTTCAGGCGTTCTCGGCGGGCAGCCCGGCGGTTGCGAGGCAGCGAGAGGCGGGGTCCTCCGCCCCTCCCCCCGCGCCCCTCCCCCCCCATAAAGCCGCCGCCGCAGTCGAGCTCCGAGCGCCGCCGCTATCGGGTCCCGTCGGCAGCTGCTGGGCGTCGCCTGCGCCTCACGGTGAGGCCTCTGCGGGCGGGAGGCATCGAGGCCGAGCGGGAAGCGGCGTCTGAGGCGGCCCCGGGCGGGCTGAGCTGTGGGACCGGGCCGCGGGCCCGGCTGGGGGCGGGCGGAGCGCGGCAGCGAGACCGCGGGGCGGCTGAAGGGGGTCGGGCCGGGCCGGGAGCTTCGGCGCTGCGGAGCCCGGGGGGCGGGCAGGGCTGCGAGGGAAGCGCCGCGCTGTAAACAAGGCGGGGCTCCTCCCGGCGCTCCTTCCCGCTCACCTGGCGGCGCTGCGGGCGCGGCGGCTCCGCACGGCGCTGCTGTGGGCGGGACTGGGCGCCGAGCGGCCCCTCCTCCACCCCGGCCGGTGATCTGGGGGGTTTCGGGGCTGTTCGGTCACACTGGTGCTGTTCCCTGGGGCCCGTCGGTGCGCGGGGCTCTGTTACAGCTAAAACGTAACAAACGACGATGTCTGTGTACGCGGTACGCCGCTTTGTCGCCGATAAAGGCTAAGCCAGCTTGTTTCGGCTGATGAAGGCCCGTACCGCGCAGGCAGGCCGTGGTGGAAGCAGGTGTGGGCGGCGCGGCAGCCCCGAGGCAGGCGGCTGTTCTGCATCCCGGCTGTGCTGAGCAGCGTTATGTAACGCCAGGCACGGGCAGGGGGCTGGGAGGTGCTGCGTGGAGCTGGGCTCGTGCTGAGTGCTTTCAGCCCGGCGGTAAATGCAAAACGCCTTGGTGTTCCCTCCCATCCCCCTCTTTCAGAACGCGGCCAGGCTACGGCGTGGGATTGTGGTGTAATCCTCACTTGGTTTTGGTGGGTGCTCGCATATACGTGTATATCTTGAGAACGGCCACGGCTGTGTCCTTCCAGAACTCCAATCCTAATTAGAAGCAGCACTGTCATATAGGGTTACATTGCTGTGTGAACATTAACTAGCTGCTTGCTCTGCCAAATGGAAATTAAAGCAATGAGGACTTCGGGCTGCTGTGAGCTGCTTAATAGCATACTCTGGCTGGCCTTCATTGGCCTCGGTTTGTTGCAGTGCTGTCAGGCTCAGCCATACTGGTGAGCTATAGGAGGCATTTGAAAAAGGTTAATGTATGTCTGATCCAGGTGGTGCAGCTGATCCAGTTTTGGTATTTCAGGTACGACTGCAGGGAGTCAGCATGCTTAGGTGGTTGAACTTGGCTGGGGAAGAATGTCTGGAAAGGGATTGAAGTGAATTTGAAATTAAATGAATTTGAAATTCATTGTCTCTGGGGTTTTCCTCTAAAACAACTTGCAGGCTGCACTTCCAGTTATGTGCTGTAGGTATTTTCAAGCTGTTGTGTTGAGGAAAAATACGGGTGTTGCACTGGTCTGCTGCAAATGAATGTTTGAATGGTAAAGGAATGCATCCCACAAGTTTAAGCACTGATTAATAATACATTTTGGCAGTCAGGTTTGTTGTGTCTTTCAGGTCCCTTCATTTAGTATCTCTGCAGAGCTCGAGCACAGCTTCAGACAGAAGCTGTAACCTGGTAGCTACTGTAACAAGTGCATGACTTCTGGCTCTGAGTTAAGTGTATGAGAAGATGTTGTTTTGTAAATGTTATTTATTAGTGGAATTTTCAAAGTCTTCTGCTTGCACTGCAGGCCTTATCAGTGTCTGAAAAACTTGGTAAAAATACTGAGTCATCTTACCTTTTCCTAACGTTAACAAAGTGCTGATGTAACTTCCTACTCTGTAAGAGCAGTGTTAAGTGCTGATAGCGTTCCTCTTAGGGCTGGATTGCTTTTTCAGGCTCTTCAGAACGCAGAGCACTTTCTGAAGGAAATGCTTGATCCTGGGTAGTCTGGTTTGTTTGACTGTGCTTGGGGTCAAGGGGAGTCAGACTGGAGCACATCTGGAGGTTCCTTCTGACTTCTGTTTTGTTGTTCTGGTCCAGGCACCATCATTTGGAAACTGCTTTTGGATTTGCTCTCGGTGAATGGTTAAAATGAGCAGTGTTTGAGTTTGAAGACAAGCAGTGTTTTGGAATTGTTGAAGGGCAGTTTCAAGAGAAGGATGGCTCTAGTGTAGTGCTGTACATAAAAACAAATCAATTGACTAGTAAGAAGTGCTTTTGTCTATTTTATTTTGCTTTCAACTTAAGGAAAAAAATCCAGGATCCTTCTATTTTAAATGATTGGTTGGTGTATTTGTATCAATCCTTCTTAAGCATCAGGATTAATGAACTTAGGACTGTTGATTCAAGCAGCAAATAATTGAAGTGTGCTGCAGGTGACACGGCTGTTTAGAAGCAGTGTAAATAGTGAAGGCAACTACATTTTTGAATCAGCTGAACTTGTAAAATCTGATGAATATTGTGTGAAAATAACTGTCCTTCTCTTATAGATGCCTTCAATTAAGCTGCAGAGTTCAGATGGAGAGATTTTTGAAGTCGATGTTGAAATTGCAAAACAGTCCGTGACCATAAAGACTATGCTGGAAGGTAAGAACATGAAGCTGAGGTAGCAATGCATGCAGCAGTGCTCTTGGCAGGATCTGTGACCCACGGGGACAAGCTGGTGCTGTGCTGCAAAGGGCTGACTTGCTATCTCATGTCAGAGCAGCTGGAACAATTGCCAGTGCGGCTTGAATGTTGTTTGGGATAAATATTTTCTCTCAAACCTTGAACTGCAGCCCTCTTCTTATCTTCTTAAATGCAGTTCCCAGCAGGCTGACTAAGTATAAATCCCCCACTGCTTTGCCTACAGCTTGCTTCAGTTCTGTAAAAGTTAGGCAAAGTTAACTTTAATAAACACTTCTAGTTTAGATTAAGCTGAGCTTTTCTTTTAATTGTGCAAGTCATTGTTGCTCTGTAATGTCTTAAATGGAGAAGGGAAACATTAATTAATGCAATGAATGAAGAGTTGAAGGGAGAACCTGCATTTATGCAGTTAAATTATTTGATAAATAGTTGGTTCTGATCTCTTGCTGACATGAATTTGAAACAAAAGAACTCGTGGTGGGGGAGGGGAGTTGCCAGATGGCTGAGATACAGAGCAAACTGTGTCTAATCTGTCTGGTGCAAATCCTCATTGTTTACTGTTTTCTTTCCAGTTTTTGGGCATATTCATGAGTTAACTTAGATCTACAAGAAGATATTTTCTAGTTAAAATGAAGTCCTTGGCTGTGTGTCTTTGGTTGTGACTCCTCATATGTAAGAACAATAACAGAAACAAGGTTGAAATACATCAACCATTGGACCACTTCAGTTCTGACAATGAGATGCTTTCAAACATGTTGAGCAGCATGAGCAGGAAACCTGGCAATCAGTGGGAATACAGTGGGAATGTAATTCCTCTCCATTTTCTCACACGTAGGCTGTGTCACTGGCAGTGTTTAGTGATAGACAGGTATTGATGAATATGCCTGTAGTGAAGGTATTGTAAAGCTGGGCACCACCAGCTGGCCTCTTAGTGATCTGACCAAGATCCAGTCAGCTAACCAGCACAGAGAAAAGACATTCTGGTGTACAGATGTTTAAGCACCATCAGTTAATACCTGCTGCTTTGCCTGTTTGATGTCAATGAAGGGGAGGAGATAAAAAGTGAAGTTGCATCAGGCAACCAACAATGAAGCACTGATTTTCTGATAAGAGATGAAACTCCAGTTTAGGAGGGGTGGGGATGAGCTGAGGAGAGCTGACTGACAATAGGGTACTTCTTGAGTTACTTCCCTGTGCCAGCAACTTAGTATAGACTGTTTGGTGATGTCTTACACCAATATCAAAGCATGCATTTGGAGTTTCTAGTAATTGGTAACATATGCAATACCCTTTAATGTCAGTATTTTGGTTTTAGAATCTATGAAATTAGATATTCCAAACAAAAAGTAGTACTAATTGATATCCCACTAATGGCAGTAGTTGACTTGTCTAAATACAACAGCTTCAGTATTTACTGTTCCTATGCATGACAAAACATTGTCTGTACTCACTATGTTAGGTCTAAGTTCTTATTTGATAAAAGAATGGGAGATCTTATTTGAAACAGTTAGGTTTAACTTGTGGATTGAAAATGGTAAATGTTCGTAAATGTCGTCTTGAACATTCTGTTCCCAGAGCATGGAACTATCACGTTCTGCTGTGACAAGTAACTGACTTAATAGGCTGTTCATGCTCAAAGTATGTCAGCATCTCTTTGGAGGCAGCATTGTTAAGCTACTTAGCTTACAGTTAGTGGAACCCAGCATGTATAATGCACCGGTGCCTCTGCAAGACCACCCTGAAGTTTGTGCCTTAGCTTAGAGATCATTTGCTATTTGTCTGTTCAGCTCAGTATTGTTAGAATAGTGGAGAACTGATGAAGCAGCCCAGGCTGGAGAACAAAGCTTTAGGCTGCTGACTGCAAGTCATCTTTCCATTTGTAGACTTGGGAATGGATGATGAAGGCGATGATGACCCAGTCCCTCTTCCAAATGTCAACGCAGCTATTTTAAAAAAGGTAAGGCACTGAGAAGTGGTCGTGTTGTGTATCAGTAATGAGATGTGAAATTAATGCTGGAGTTAAATGTTACTGTTCAAAATATTTCTCATGTGTTGGCTACAAGTGTAACACCATCATGTGCACGAGCAGTTTATCTCAGAACTGGGATGAGGCTCACAGCTCCTGATTAAAGACCTACAGGAGTGACCGTCTGGAATGGCAGTTGGAGGCTGGGCAGGGCTCCTCAGGCATAGGGCTGGTGCTGGATATCTGTGCTCACTAGCATCTCATGGTTTTAAAGCACTGATTGTAATTGGGTTGTGTGAGCTGAGGTGGCTCTTAATGAGTTCAGAATGTGAGGAGAAAGGTTAAATAGGGCAGGCAGCGGTGAGAGTCACAGTCAGTGAGTGTTCCAGCTCCTCAAAATGAGGTTTATGTTACTTCTGTATGGTCCTGTGTGTGTTAGCACAGGATTTATTGTTAACTTTGCTAGGGGCTGCCCTTTAGAATCCTGAGTATTTAATTGAGTGGCTGCTGTCTCAGTTGAGCTTTGTGAAAACTGTTGGATTCCAGGATTGGGGATTAGTTCTTTTAAGATGAAAATATACAATGATGAAACACAAACATGTGATTCTAGTATCATTCCAGAGGGAAAAGTACAGTGCTCCTGAAACAAAGTTATGTTAGAGTTGGGGCCTAATGGGAAAGTCACTTGGGTAAAAGTTTATTATCAAAACTGTAATTAGGTGATTCAGTGGTGCACCCATCACAAAGATGATCCACCTCCTCCTGAGGATGATGAGAACAAGGAGAAAAGAACAGATGACATCCCTGTGTGGGATCAAGAATTTCTGAAAGTAGACCAAGGAACACTTTTTGAACTCATCCTGGTAAGTATGTTCTGGAAGCAGGAAGGCTGTGCCTGCACAGTGACCTCTGTTTTACCAGTATGTCTTGATGCTTCTTGAATAACTTCTTAATGTAGAGAATGTGGGAAGGGCAGCTAGTTGGCTGAAATTGGTGAATGGTAGATGCTTATTAACATCATGCTGGGCACTAATTTATGCTTGCTCATCTATCAGTTCCTATACTTGTCTGTAGTTGTGGCCCTACAGCTGACTCTTTTCACTTTTAAGTCTTGGCTGATGGCTTATTACTTTAAGTAGTGTTTTAGAGACCTGCATAAATACAAATTTTTTAAAAAGCTAGATTAGTATCTTATATGATCTTCAATCTAGTTGCTCCTGTCTTAGCTAGCTAACAGCACTCAAGTATTTAACATCTCCGAGGTGTGTGCAAGGTTGTAAAAGCCTTGTATGAAAGGAGATGGGGCTTTCATGGTGGAAATGACTCCTGTTTGGCAAGTAAACTCTAGGTAGTTAATTCAGGGTTCTAGCTAGAAGCTTCTCAGAGTGATTTGGTTCTTTGTGGTTACAGCATTCTACAGTGCTGGGAGCAAAACTTTAGTATTACATCTGCAGAGGGAGAAAATTGATCTTGAAGCTTTAAATTTGGAAACTGTTTTACAGGCTGCAAATTACTTGGACATCAAAGGTTTGCTTGATGTCACATGCAAGACAGTTGCCAACATGATCAAGGGGAAAACTCCAGAAGAAATTCGCAAGACATTCAATATTAAGAATGACTTCACTGAAGAGGAAGAAGCACAGGTACTTGGTCTGGGTTTAATTATAATTTAGCTGTTTTTCTGCTGCATTAACATGGGATGCTTCATAATTTCATAATGTTATTCCTTTCCACAGTAAGTAAACCCAAATGCTTATGGGAGTTTACTTTCCCTTGAGCTTCTAAAGTTTACTGCATCAAGTTACCAGTTGTTTTGTTTTTCCAGGTACGTAAGGAGAACCAGTGGTGTGAAGAGAAGTGAAGCATTGTGCCTGACACTCGAACACTGTAAGGATTGTTCCAAATACTAGTTGCACTGCTCTGTTCATAATTGTTAATATTAGACAAATGCAGCAGCAAATGAAGTTGTGTTAGCAAGATATTGTTCCCTTTGCATGTGTAGTGTTGTTTTTTTTGAGTATAAATTTAAATCTGCGTTTTTACTAGTGTAATGGGATGTCTTTTTACTTTACTCTGCAACGAATAAAACTGAACCAAGTGTGGATTCTGTATGGAAAGTAGCACTTAAGGTTGTCATTTTCATTATACTTTTTTAACTGTTCCCAGTCCAGTTACAATCTTAAGTGTTGACTCCACCATTGTAAATAAAACCACCTTTGCTTTCTTCCTCAGGAAGAACAAAACACTTATTTACAGGGTATTGATGGCTTCAGAAAGGAAAATTAAAATTAAATGTGTCTTGGGGAGCTACATAAAGTTTAAAAAAAAAAAAGTTGGATTTCTTACAGAGACATTTTGGAAAAATTGGTGTTACTTAAAGCTATATGACTTTGAGGATGGTTCTTGTTCTGCATTTAAAAAAAAAAAAAAAAAGGAAAAAAGATCTGTCCACTTCCTTGTCCTGTTGGTCTTGCCTGAATAGTGAAAGATGTGAGCCAGAGCAAAGCAAGCTTCTGACAGCAAACTTGGCAGACTTCTACCATGTCCTGAAGCTGTGCCTCTAGCTGCTAGCAGATGGAACGTGTGTTGCTTTATGCACAGGACAGGTGTGTTTTTATACTTTTTTTTTGCTAAAAGTGGAACCCAGGTTTGACCAAAAATGACTGACATTACCAAAGTTAATATTATTGACCTGTGCATGCCATTAGTGGCTGTTTTTTAGGCAATTTTAAACTACCCTTGTGATGTAGCTCTTTAAAACATGGTTTTCATGTATCCATGGGAGATCTTTTTGCCTATGTATGTGATACTTCTGCTTGTAGAGACTTCTTATTGCATACAAAGCTAATGCAATATTGAGCTTGACTTCTTTGGACAAAGCCACTTGCAACTAGTTAAACAGTAACTGGTTTCCTGATTTTTATTTTAATTTTTTTTTTTTTACAGTTCCCTTATAGGGAGTAGGGGGTGGTTTTGTGGTAGATCTGAGGTGTGCTCTTAGCTTGTATTGCATTCCATTCTCTGTATAAATCTTAGAGTAGAATGAACCTTAATAAACATACTTATCTCACTTTAAATATCAGTGTTTCACTTCTGAATTAATAAAGGGCTTTTAAACTTCTATATACAAATGGTTCTAATCATCTGTAACTAGGCAGCCTGTCACTTCTTACTGAGTGTGTGAGCAATAGTAATAGTACTGAGGGAGTGGTTAACTGAAATTCTTTATCTATTTTAAATGATTAGAATGCAAGCTGCTGGTCAGTCACAGTCAGCAGCCTCAAGTGAAGTCTGAAGCTAAATCCAGATGGATTTTTTTGATGGCTTACCAGCTTTGAGATAATCTTGCTTTGATGTAACCATTAATGAAAGCATTCATAACTTGTTCTAAAGCAGCACTCAATCCGTGCTTTGGAGGCAGCTGCTGGTCACATATGCTTATTCATAAGGCTGCTGGGCCTGCCTTTGTGCTGCTGATAGCATTGTCAGTGGGCATAAAATGCTCCAGTGTTACAGATTGGGACGTTTAAAGCCTGCCAAGCATCCTGTATTGTAAACAGTACAACTCTGTTAAAGTACCAGTAGTGAAAAGCTGCTGATAACAGGTCTTGTAGTTCAGTGTTCAGCTTACCCTGCATTCTTACAAGAAATAAATCCAGCTCTGTGCATGAAGTAAGCATTCAGCATACACTGGTTTCATCCTTGAAGTTACCATTCTGATACAGAAACTGTAGTTCTGCTCAGTAGTAGAAGCCTACAAATGCTTCCTTGAGGTGTTGGTCAGCAGTAGCTGCTGCCTCATGTGGTGCCTCCCTGTGCTGTAAGATGAGGAAGAGACAGAGGCAGTTTAGCTTGTCTTCCTTGTAGCCTTGCTTCTACTGTTTGCATAAAGCACCTGTGGCAAGAATTGCTAATTCTTAAAACAGCTTGCCTAAGAAATAACCCTTTGTGGTCAAATGCTTCAATGGTGAACTAAATGGGCTTTGGCTTCTGCTCCAGAGTTGTGCCAGTTGGCTGCTGGTATGAATAGTTTGCCCAAAGCTGATGCTACTGTGGCAGTATGGCACAGTATGCAAAAGGGCTGGCTTTGTGCTCAGAGCATTATGGCGTTGTGACAGATTTTGATGTTAGAAGCCTTGTTCATTAGGAATCCATACAACTTGCCTTCTCTGGTTGAATTCCCCTAGAGTGCTGGCTCAGGCTTTGTCCCAGTACCTGATGTGTATGGCAATGCAAGAGAACACCTGTTTGAATCTCTGCTGGTACAAGCTGTAGAGAGGGACCTTCTGCAGGGGTGCTGTGGGTACAGAGCAGCTGCTGTGTGGGTTTTCCTCTTCAGCTGAACCTGCTGTGTGTCCTGTATCAGCAGGCAGCCATGTAACACTAACACCTGAAACACAGACACTGTCCACTGTTTCCACTGCTGGACTTGATGTTAATCATTAACTGGCATGGTGCTGCATAAACACTTCTTTCCCAAGTCGTGGCCTAATCAGGAGTGCTGCTCTTGGCTGGAGTGATGAAATGGGGGCACGGTGGGGGAGGAGGAGGTCAGCAGTAGTGGTTGGTTTATGTGGAAGGAAGTATTCTCTGTGGCTCACAGTTTCAGCCTTATTTATTGAAGGCTACTGGAAATTATGTTAAAATGCTTCAACGTAAAAGTACAAAAAAACTTCTTCAGTTCTAAGGAATAATTAATTGACACTTTGATAGGATTATAATTTCCAGTGGCCTATTCTGAATAGCCAGTCTGGCAATTACTTTATTTATAAAGCTATAAACATATTTTGAACATAAAAGCCAAAAAATACAAACTTGGTGAAGTAAAAAAAATTACAACAAATGATGGATAATCATTGGACAAATGAAAGTACAGCTGCAAAACATTTATCCCTGCTACATACATACAGTGGTTGTACTTGGTTTAATGAAGTGGTATTTCCATGACTTCTACATTCAAACTGGTTTCAGGAATTCAAATATGTATTTCAAGAGAGGTTGAAATTGCTGTAAAAACTGAAAAAAGAAATTCTTTTTGCGATTAAAAACTTCAGGGCGATGCTTTCCTTCTATTAAAAAAGCACATGAACACAAAATAATAACACTTCATATAGCATTTCTAAAGATTTCTTTTGGCATTAATAAAAGTAACTCTGTTTTGGCATTGTTAACCATAGGGCATGTATTCAGAAGTTGGTCAGCTCGCTGTTTTGTCTCAGAAATGGGCAGCTCTGAGCTCTCTTACATGTTTTGGGGAAAGAAATATGTTTTCTCAGTTGTGCCATAGAAGCATTCAGGTAACAGCAAAGGCCGAAATGATGCTGTGCTGGTGTGAGACCTGTTCAGGAGCATCGGTCAGAAAGTGTGTACCTGTGTGTGCTGTGGGAATGCCCCCCTCTGTGCATGAACGCACGTGGGATGGCTCCTGCAGGAGGGAAGGCAGGTTTCACCAAGGAGATTGTGCAGGAATTGGATGGAATAGCAGTGATGAGAGGAGGTTGTAACACAGATGGGTCATTTCCTGGTCAGCATGCCCTGACCAAGGCGGGCAGCACGGGCACCATGGAGGGGCTGTGAGTAGCCTTGAAATAGATGAAGGGAAATCCTAATGAGTTCTGAAATGAATGAGGGCTGCTTAGTGCTACTCGGTCCTTGGTCACAACATGCAGGTTAATACTGGTCAGGACTTTCCCTTAAATTTCCTCTGGTGTTACTTAGAGACATCTGGCTTTTCTTTATAGCCATCTTTGCTGCTAAGTTACATTTCATCCAACCATGAAATACCAAGCAGGTACAACGTTATGCCAGCTTTACACCCAGTTGTGCCCACTGATGGCCGATTTGTCAGCTGTGCCTTTTACAGTAGTTGTCACTTGGACAGCACCTTACATCAGAGGGTCTCAAAGTGAAGAACGGTGAGTTGAAACAAAGCTTTTTTTAAGGTTTATATCTATAATGTATTGTCAGAAGAGTCTGTGTCAGGTCTGGGAATGGCTCGCTGGGTTGCTGTGCTTGCTGAAATAACTTAAAGATGAGTGGATGGTGTGTGAGCAAGGGCTGCACTGTTAACCCTCTGAGTGCAGTGTGTGCTGCTGGCGGGCACTCCAGGTAATGCTACTCCTCTAAGGGTTAGAACAGCTCTGTAAGTCTGTGCACGTTGCTTTCATTCAGTGCTTCTCAAGTTACATTTCCATAGAAGAGGAATAAAGCTATAAGTTTGGGTCTTCTAAACTAAAACGAGTTAAAGATCTACACTACTATAAGCAGAAGTACCTAAATTAGGGGAATAAACCCAGAGATGCTCTATAGACTAATCAGTGGTCTTTTTTTTTTAATTTTCAATCTTTGATGCATAAACTTGTTTTAAGAAGTTGAGTCCAATGTAAAAAAATCCGGGTTTTTGTTTTAAGAAAAAAAATATAAAAATATTTTTTTACATTATAAAGGTCATCTTAAATTTCTTGCAGTTCTACAATAATATTACTACATAATTTGTAGTCAGTACTCTAAAACCTATTCTGTAAAGTAGAAAAAAATAGACCCCTCTCCCCCTCAGCTTGGTGTTCTTTTTCTCTTCAGCAGTCTAAAATACATTTCTTTCAAGCAGGAAAAAATACGCACCGGACCGGACTCTGGTCTGTGTGCCAAGTGTGTAAACATAGAGAAAATCAATACATTTGGTTAAGTTGGGATTTACATCAGTTTATGGAGATCAGAATCTGTCCACGGATCAAAAGGTAAGAAACCAGAACCTGGAAAATATTCTCAGGCTGGAGAGAATGCCTTCACGTTTGGCCTCGTTGCGAGGGGTGAGGGAGATCTGTTAGAAAAAGCTCAGGTAAGTTCTTTAAAAAGTTAGACACCAAATCAGCAAGAAACGTTTTTGATCTTGCAGAGGGTAAGTAGAGCCTGTGAGCAGAGGGCAGGGCAGGGTGCTGCTGCTCCGGGCTGCACAGCAGGGAAAGCGTTGGGCTCAGCTCCTTCCTGCAGCCTGGCCTCAGCCTGGCTTGTGAGATGGAGCGCTGCGCTCCTGAGTGCCTCAGTCAGGCTGTGTGGCTGCTTGCCCTACGTGCTCCTCGTGTGTGCTGAGTTAAGGGGAGGCTTTTTGAGGCTTTCCCCAGCCCATTGCGTGGCAATTCCTGCTGTTTGAATCTGCAACAATCAAGCAAAACAGCAGGGAGACCCTGGGCCGGGCTGACGTGGGGAGCAATCCTCTGCCCTGCCATACACTGATGGGATTCAGCGTGTCTGCACACAGACTATTACCTGTAAACAGTACCTTCCTGTTCTCAAACAAGAAGTTTAAAAAATACATCTCATTAGTTTAAATATTTCTCTATCATTCAGTCAGATCGGAAAGCTAGCATCGCTACATTTCATTTTCAGACACAAGGGCTTTTACAAAAGGCTCCTATTCCAGCTTTTCCAGCTCTGTGGTAAAACAGCTACAGGACTACAGTCTAAAGCAGCTCTGAAGGCAGGACATGGAAGCCAGTGTTAGATTTAGAGCACCTACCACCTACTGCAGCAAGCTGGGGAGTCTCTCTTTGCTTTCTGCCACACTCACAGATAACACAGTAAAAAAAGAAAAGCCCCCAACAAACAAAAAAGCAGCACAGGGCAGGGACAAAAGCCTTATTTACTCATCAGCACTTCAAATTTTGGCAAGTTTTGTTGGTTTGTTTTTTTTTTTAACCTTTTAAGAAATCACTTTGCTATCTTTAACCACCACCCTCCCCCCAAATAATCAAATGTTTTCCAGCATCCTCCAATCGTTCTGTTGCCTAACTGCAGTGAAACAGGGAATTGGGCCGGGCCTCTGGTCCTTTTCAGCGGGAGAGCAAAGTGCCCAGTGTGTCTCAGCTAACGCGGGTGGTGCAGGACTACGTCCCCGTGGAAGCCACGCTGCAGGCTGAGGGCTCTGCGGGTGCAGGAGAGCACCCGGGGTTGGGTCTGGAGGAGCAGGCAGCAGCTGTGATGGGAGCAGAGACCGGGAGGGGGTCGGTGTGTTCTCTGTGTGTGGAGTCTGCGGGGGCTGCAAGCTTGTCTGAAGGGAAAGCAGAGGATATGCATTGGAGTGCATCCAGGGGGGAGGGAGGGGAGTCTATAGCACTTCCATCGGAAGAAACTGGGCTGGCACAGCGTCCTTCTCCTTGTAAGTACCGAATGCACTTCTTTTTCCTCCTATGAACAGTGAAGAGAGTTATCTGTAAATAAAGGGTGAATTCACGGTCACGCACACAAAGCGCCGAGCGGAGCGCAGTGCGGGGCGGGGAGCGGAACGGCGCGGAGCCGCAGCGCGGAGATCCGCCGTCTGTGGGTGCGAGCCGGCGGCGTCGCTCCGCCGCGCCCGCAAGGGGGCGCCATAACGGCGGCGGCAGCAGCGCTCCGGCCGCGCCGCCATCCCCCATTGGCTGCCACGGTGCCGCGTTGCGGGACGCAGCCGTGGAGCGGCGCCGGGTCAGGCCGTGCCACTGCGCTCCGCATCGTTCGTTAGCTTTGTTCCTACGGCAAAGCAAATCGACCCGAGCTCTTCTGAGCGCTCCTACCCCGGCCCTAGCCTTGTTTGCAGTACGCTGTCTGCTCGGCTGCTTTGCTTTGCAGCAAAAGCCTCTGACCTCCACCCATCCAGAAAGCCATTCATGGCTTCTCTGGGCTGACGTGTTGGCTGTGATCTGTCCCTTCAGAAGCTGAGATATAAGCACAAAATGCCACACACACACGTGGGAGAGGAAGCTCCGGCACAGCCCTGCAGGCAGGGTCCTGCTGGTGAGGGTTTCCTGCAGAAGCACCCAGCTGGGGGCAGTGACTGCCAGCATCCCTCAATCACCTGCTCTGCATCCTCTGCAGCGGCTCAGGGAAAAACACAGAGCTCCGTAGACGTTCCAAAGCACAGAGCTCTGAGGACGTCGCCTAACAGTGGTGAGGGAGCAATTCCCTGCTCGAGGCACTGATAACAACAGCGCAGCTACAAGAGGCAAAAAGAACACCTTCCTTCTGCTCAGCTCCCTGCCTCGACCGCCTCAGCTGAGGAGAACAGATCAAATGGAGAACTGGCTGATCAGGCACACACACCTCCCTTTGATCTCACTAATGAAAAACTACACAGTGATGGAATATGCATTAAGTAGCCCAGTATTAAACACGACTTTGCACTGGCTGCGAACAAGAGAAATGGCATCACTGCTGTCAGTGGCATCGTTAGCTGGGCTGACCCAATTAACACGGTATGAAACACGACAGCGCTGCTGAAAGGAACATGGAATGCTACATGGGCTGCAGCCTCCCAGAGCAGCCAACCCCAGGATGAGCCGTGCTTCCTACAGACAATTCAGGAGCAGCTGCAGGATGGAGAGTCTCCATGACCTCCTTGTAGGATGACAGAAACCTATCAGCTGATTCATCGATTCGTTGATTCAATTTGATTTAAAATGATGGAGAAGCAGCAGATTTGATACTAAAGCTTACATGGCTCCTATACAGCTAAAAGGATGTATCCCTGTCCTTTAGGAACTACAGCACCCTGCAGCATCTTGTCCTGGTGAAAGGGTGAAGCCTCCAACCAGGAACACCCATTTTTCACCACTGTTGTCCTGTGGAGTGGGAACCTCAGGTGGGAGCTGCTCTCTACAGGTGTTTGCGACCACTGCAGGGAGGACAGAAGCCCTTGAACTGGCAGCAGTCCGTTAGTACAGGCAATTGCAGAAAAGATGTGACTAAGTAGCATTTGAAAGGCAAAAGTTAAATAAAAAAGCATGCTAAGGTCTACAAACTCAGCAGGCTGTGTTAACTGGAAGCAATGCAGAGGGTTAGCGCCAAAGCTGAATGAGGAGAGTTCAAATGAAGTCACAGAATTGGAACTGTCTGGGTTGGAAGGGACCTTTAAGGCTATCGGGTCCCCCTTCCCACAATAAGCAGGGAAACCCACAGCTCTGTCAGTGCTCAGAGAAACTCAGCCTGACCTGGGCTGTCTGCAGGGACGGGGAAACCTAAACCTAAGGATTCCTAAGCTAAACCTCCCTGCTCATATCTGGGGCTTTGTCATCTGCTGGGTCTGGGAGGCACCGGTCCTCACTCAGCCAACATCAGCCATGAGGGACTGCTGGGGATTTGCTCCAGGATTCAGATTTGGATGGACTGAATGATTTCCCCTGCTTCAAGCTGCAATAAGCACATTCATTCTGGGGTCATGCCCTAGAAACCCAAGGTGTGGAACGTTTGCAAACCAGCTCCTTGCTTGGGGTTTTCCCACTCCATGTTGGGTGCTGCAAACCAACAAGGTGCATCTCAACAAACACAGTTAGCTCTAGGATAAATAGGAAAAACCTCAGGAAAATTAGCAAAGACCTTCACTACTCACAACTGGCCCTCAAGCGGTGTTTATAAATGGGTGGAAAGCCCCACACCACGGTCGCAGAGGCAGAGCTGGAAATAAGCTTCTTACACCAGGGATGCTCATTGGCATCGCATGGACACTGTCCATGGCAGCTCAGGGACAACAGCCACCACGGGAGCCCAGACAGAGCCCTGCAGGAGCATCCCTGGTGTGCGGAGGAGCAGAAAGCAGTGCCAGACCCGCAGCCCAGGAGAACCCCGCGAGGTGGAGATGTGATACACACCTGCACGGGCCGCACCAGTCCGTTTGTTGGTTGAGGCCAAAGCGAGCTCTGCATTTCTTAGGAGAGGCAGGATCTGAACACAGAAGCATGCGTGGCGGAGAATGGGCAAGGCAGAGGCACAAAGAGGAGGAGGAGCAGGAGGAAGAAAAGAGGCAACATCATTTCAGCCGCTTAACACACCACTAACAGACTACAATCCCAAGTTTTGTTTCTGCAACAGAATGGTGGTGGCACCATTTCCCCTGTAAAAAAAGTGATCGTTAGGGGGAAAAAAATAAAATAAAATAACCAGTGATCGCAGCAGGGGAAGGGGGTTGAGGAGCAGCACCCAGCTCAGCTGCAGGACACTACCAGGAAATTCACATCTTTTTGTGACACCTCCACGTTCCTAAAGGCTGGGAAAGCTGCCAGGTGACAGAGCTGTTGCCTGCAGTGCTCCTTACCTGCTCCCTGCAGCACCTAACCGGGTGCCAGCGAGTGGGGCTGTGGGCAGCAGAGAGGAGAGGAAACGTTGCAGAAGCGCAGGAAAGCGGAGGTGGCACCGCAGAGATCAGCCCCGGCTGCACAGCTCTGCCCTGCAGCCCCTGGGATTGCCTTCAGGCACACGCTGCTTTTCCAGCCCTATTGCAGCACTGGAGAAGGGCACCTTCCTGCCTGCACCAGCAGCAGTGAGTGCTGTTGGGCACCATCAGCAATATTCCCATCCATAGAGGGTGAAATCAGTATTTTTCTATCACACACGAGCCGTATGTTTACATGGATAGATACACACTATATATACACTGAAATGCTTGCATTCTCTACATCCTAGGTACCAAATGCCATCAAGAGCATTAACTAAACCAAAGCCATTACTGGGACACATTTTTGGAACTGCTTTCTATGGACAGCTCAAAAAGGGCATCATACAGCTATTAGTGGAGCTGTGTGAGCTGAGCTGTGTCATCCCAGCAATCCCAGCAGCAGAGGCAGGGCTGGTCCCAGCTCACAGCCAGCAAAGGGTCTGGGGCAGTCTGTGGGGGGCACTCACCTGGGTGCTCTGCATAATTAGCAGTAATATATACATGTAGATAAGCACTTGATGATATCTTATATTTTCAGTTTCCATGAACTACTCATGTTCTAATTCAAGCTAATCTATAAAAAACTCACAGAAATGCTAATTTTCTGTCTCATGAAATGCACAGATCATTGGTTAAGACTGAGAGAACAAAAGAAAATATGGCAAAGATCCCACAAAAACTATGTGGGATCATCCATTCTGCACAAAAAGTGTCCAGCACTGAGGGCTGCATGGCTCAGCACCGCGCGATTTACCTGAGTTGGAGTCCTGCTGCTTCTCCCGTGTCCGCCTCTTCTTTTTCCCCTAGGAAAGTCAAGGAAAAGCCCATCAGTCCGTGCTCCCAGTGCTGGGGGATGGATGGGGCCTTGGGCAGAGCTGGTCTGAGCTCTGAGAAATACACCCGGGAAAGTCCCAAAGCCACCACCAGGGTGAGTGTCCTCACATCCAGCACTGCAGGCAGTAGGGCTCACATGTATACATCCACAGGAACTCAGAGATGGAGCCACATCACTGCTATCACCCCACCGCCTTCTCAGCTTTCCTCCCCCAGCTGAGCCCCCCATTTACACTGCAGCCTCCCTACTGAATGCAGTTACACAACAGCTCCTCCTTGCAGGACATTGGTCTGAACATCACCCAGCTCTCCCGCTCCACTCGAAGCACTGCAGGAGGTTCCATGTGCACAGGGCAGCAGAACTGTGATCCCCGCTGTGATCAGAACTCCTCATCAGGAGAGCATCCCGATGTCATGTGGGAAAGCTTTACAAATCCCTGGGCACTTTTAAAAAATACCCAGCCCTCTACTGCTATTTTTTTTAATAATACCCATCTCTCTACTTCAGCCCTTCTGCACCTGTGGATTCATTTCTTGTTCTCAGATTTTCTTCACTCCCCAGCAGCAAAACAGTGCTAGCCCCGGATTTCCTCCCCGACAACCTCAGGGAGGAGGGCACAGAGGGGCTGGAGCAAATCTGGCCAGCGTGGGGAGCGTGGCTCACAGGGCTCCTCTGCCCTCTGTCTTTTTGTATGACTTCTTGTGGTTTGAGTGAAGGTGGAAAGCTCTGCGCTGCGGTGAGCTCTTTCTTCGGCGTGGGAGCAACTGTATTTCCTGCCTAATAACCGAGTCACGTGCGGGGAGGTGACCTACATTCCTCCTTCTCCTCCTCGCCGGGGCTCCAGAGAGAGCAGCAGCTCCTGCAGCGACCTCAAGACCTGGAGCAGCTGCTCACGAGTGCTGGAGGGAGAGCTGCTGTGCTCTGAGCCTGGGTGCGTGCTGGCTGGGAAAGGAGAACTCCTGGTGCTTTCCAAGAGGAGAGAAGCAGGAGGGATGGGATTTCCATGGAGGACGTACTTGGCTTGAAGGACAATGATGCCCAGCTCTCAGCTCTGCTGCTGCCCTCCAGGGATGCCTACAGAGAAGCATTCTTGGGTGCTGCCCCAGATTCTCCATGGCCATCCCAGATCTAAGCCAGTACTGACCCTGCAAAGCTGCACATGGAAGCTGAGCTCCCAGCAATTTACTTATTGCTAATTATTACGCTTACGTAAGGACATTATTGATTATGATTTCTGGCTATTTGAGGATGTTTTGTGGGACTTTGGGCTTTTTTAATGGTGCTTGAAGGAGGGCTCCAAGCACAGCTCCAAGACAAAGAACGTGGCTGCGAGGGAACCACTGGAATCCTGCATGGAGCAGCAGAGCCCAGCAGCAGGTGGATATTCGACAGCCCTCTGCACCCTGCCTCAGGTCTCTAACGAGCTCGTTAGGCAGGGCTCGTTGTATGTGAGATCAAAACAGTTAGAAAGCCACTAGAAAAGGCTGCATCCCATGTTTCTGCAACACTAGAAGCTCGCTTATTGCCTTGCTATTCTACTATTAACATAGTAAAGAGGAAATGAATTCTCTTGACGCTGACTTCTGAGCACTGCACTGGGGAGCCCAGCCCTGCATCTCCAGGTGGGACATAGCACAGAGCAATGGGCAGAGCATGCACCTCGATCTGCTGTCCCTCTCTGCCTGCTGCAGCAGCTTTCCTTTTCCTCCCCTTTTGAACATGGATTTATGATTTTCTTAACAGCACCCTTACTTGGGAATCAGCCTCTCCGAGGAGCTGGGGCCAGCTCACAAACCAGCAGAGCAAGCAGCGCTGCTGTCTGCATTTGCTACAGCTGCATTTGAATACTTTGAACGTGGTGTGCTTGGTTTGCTCAGTCGTGGTGGCCCCATGGGACCAATGTCCCAGCAGGGCAGGTGGTGGCTCAGTGACCATCACCCTGTAGGACAGCACAGGGACCCCAGGGCCCAGGACACAGCATCACTGCAGGGATGCAGCCCTACGAGGGGTCCCAGAGTTGGACCGAGCCCCTGCCAGGCTGAGCTCAGCACTCATCTCATGCAAAGCAGCTTCTTTTCTCCTGTTTTGCATTTTTAAATCTTATTTTCTACTATTATTATGCTCCTGTCAACAGACAGAGCTTTCCAAACATCATTCACATCACTTAAAAGTTCTTTTTTTTTTTTTCTGCTTCTATTTCCTTGGGCACTAAACAACAGTGGCAGCTGCAGTTACAACATTTGTGCACGAGGAGCAGCCAAAGAGATGTTCAAACCAATGCCAAAACACATATTTCCATCCAAACCATCCCCTCCGAAACAGCATTACCGGGGACAACCGGTACCCATCTCTTCCCCCCATGGGTCATTTTTGGGCTATTTTTTGGTCACATCTATGGGACTCGAGGCGCAGCATCACTCACGTAGTTGTCCCGCGCGGACCAGCCGGGGTAGAGCTGCATGTGGAGCTGCCGTTCCTTGCGTGCCAGCTCGTAGTACTTGGCCTGCTCCTCCCGGGACAGCGCGTGCCACTGCGGGGACAAGCACAGCACTCAGCCTGCCCTGCCATGGGGACACTGCACTGCAGGGTGTGAGGGGAGAGCATCCCAGGGAAGGTGCAGGGGATGGGGATGCTGTACTGGAGCTGTACACAGGTCTTGTAGGGCACCTTGTGGCCACTGCATTGCTGTTGGGGTACAAGATCTCCCTTTTCTCCCACTTCTGGGGCTCCCTACCAGCTGCTCACAGCCCGAGGACGTGCAATGCCTCCAACACCCCCGAAGTCCCAGTCTCCATCAAAGCGATGAGAGAAACTCTCCCCTGCTCCCCTCATGTCCAGAGACATCTGCATGTCCCCCCAATCCCCAAAACCCCTGGGGACCTCCACCTGCCCTTACCCTCCTTCCCAGGATCTGGTTGATGGCCGCGCTCTCCTTCAGCGTGCATTCAGCAATGACCTTCGCCCGCATCTCTTTCATATACAACATGAAAGCATTCAGGGGCTTCTTGATAGTGGGCTTCTTGGCTTCCTTCTCTCTCTTTGGTTCTGGCTGAGGTTTCCTTGGGAGGGACAAAAGGAGCAATCAGTGTCAGAACCACTCGGTGTCATTGAGTGATTCATGGGCATCACCCAATGGGACACCACAGTGATAGCACAGATCAGGAGCCCTGACCAGAACTCACATGTTGCGGTCGTAGTGCTCCATCTCCTGCTTGCCAGAGTGGGGCACGATGGCGGGGTGTGGGATGCCAGTGGTGTGCATGCTGGAGCCCAGCATCAGCGGGTGAGTGAACCTGCAATGGAGATGGGGTGAGCTGCGCTCGCGGGGCAGCGGGGCGCTGGGGGGGCCGTCCCTCGGTGGCTCTCTGGAGCGGCGGAAGCAGACGGCAAGCAGAGGGCACAGAAAGCAGAACAAGGGCAGAAAGGACCCAGGGGGGCTGCGCAGGATGGGAGTGGGGCTTTGGCATTAGTTTGCTGTTCCCAGCAACGCTGCCGTGCCGCTCCCCGGTGCCCTGCCAGCAGGGCCCAGATCAAGGGTGCTTTCAACCTGTGTTTCAGACACTCAGATCTCTGTTGCTGCAATATCTTATTAGTGCTGTAAGAAGAAACAACAAACTCAACCCAACATTTGGATTTGAGAGATTAGGACCACCCCACAGAAAAAGCATAAGTCTGAACATGAACTAACTGCAACTCTAGGAGGTGCACCTTGCCCGAGCAATGCTCTCCACCAACACAGGATGAGATCATCAGAGGTCTCGTTGCCTTTCAGGCCTCATTAGCTCCCTCGAGCTGCTGATGGTAAAGCCAGAGCCGCCGGCTCTGCCAGGCCTGCCACGCTCTGACTGCAGCTCAAGAGGGCAGAATCGCCCATGGGAGGTGAACTGCTCGTTAGATATGCTGGCACAGAAAGAAAAGCTGTTTAATTTAATCCACTAGCACAGTCTGATCCTTATCTGGCCAGGTGTACTGCCTGTCTGCAGCAGCGCTGCAAAACCCAGCCCCATGTGAGTGGGAACCCCTGTGCCACACCTGAGGGCTGCAGGGCCCCAAAGGGAACCGTCAGCACATCCCTGCCCTGAGCCTTTGGGGCTGCAAAAAAGCAGTGCCCTGAGAGCGAGGTGGGCTGGCAGCACCCTCCCGCCCCTGCTGCACAGATAGAGGTTTGTGTGGATAGAGGGCTTGCATAGTTTTTCTGTGGGAATCCGTTGCTAACTTCAGGACAACATGAAGCAGAAGCAAAGCTGGTGCAGGAGCAGCCGGAGCAGGGGCACGCCATTGCCCTGCCCATCAGCACACCCCAAGGTACCAGGCTCTGAGATCCCCAGTTATGGGATGCATTCTGCTCCCTGGGACATCAGTGGGGCTGGGGTACATGTAACCACAAAGCAGACAAACTATGGAGAACAGAGCAGAGATGCAGACGGTGCAGGATTGCGCTCGCTCCTCGGGGCTGGCGATGCTGCAGAAACACAAAGCAGCCCCCAGCCCTGCACGGGACTGGAGTGGGAACAGGGCAGCACGGGGCAGGCATGGGCTGCGTATCAGCTGCAGACTTCAGACTTGTTTAGATGCGATGCCAGCAACTGCCTGCTGCCTGTCCTGCTTCTAAGGCTGAAATCAAGGAAAATGCACTGCTCTCTGCAAAGCGAAACTCGACGGTGCATACAACACCACGGTCAGAGACAAGGAGCGATGGGTTTCACCCCTTTTTCCAGTGCTGCACTGAAGGCAGGGCTCTCTGGCTTTGCTTTTTTGACCTGTGCTGATGACAGCCCAGTTGCTGAGCATCCTCCCTGGCCGCTTGCTGCTCCCGGGGGCATCCGGGCACTGCCCTGACTCGCTGGGCTGCAAGCTGCTCCTGCACACACTGCAAGCTGCGGGCGTCGAGCCGCTCCCGGCCCCACATACTCACCTGGAGAAAGAAGCCCCAGCAGAAAGCGCTGACGAATACGGCTGTCTAAATCCACATGACGGGAGCGGATAGACAGACTGGCTCTGCCTGGGATCGGGAAGAAAGAGTCTATCAAGTATCCACAGCTGCGTGGCTGTTTCCTAAAGATCCCCTGTGCTAGTGGGGCTTGGAGCAGTGGGGTCCCGGAGGGGGCTCGGTGCCCTCGCCCTGTGCTGCTCCAGGTTTGGGGTTTGCTTAGGGAGCTCCCTGTAGAGGTTGGATCCACACCTGACTTCCCTCCACCCCCACTTTGAGAAACTATCTTGTATCCTGTTGCAGTGCTGAATACGGAGGTGGGCAGAAGAGATACTGCTATCGCACAGAATAAGCTGCTTAAAAAATAAGAAAGCACTGTTTGGCCAAAAAGCTGGAGGCTGCTCAGCACCTCTCTGCCTTGGCCCCAAGGAGACGCAGCTCTTCCACCCCACACTGCCCCCAGAAGTTTGCCTCTGTTTGCAAACAAGCCCAAAGCCCGGGTCCTGTGCTTCTTTTTAAAGCTGTTTCGTAGTGGGAATCGGGCACGCACCAGACCTGGAGCTGGGAATTGTTTTGAAGATAGTCAAATAAACCTGAAGGAAGTTCCTGGTTGCTCTCAGCAGGGGAAAGCCCCCATGTTTTCATATGGAGATAGCTCCAACACACCTCAGTGTGCTCTGTCGGGCTGCCAGGAGATGCTCCCAGCCCAAAACCGCACGTGGAAACCCAGACACCTGGGGAGGGCGAGACGGGATGGCTGAACCCCAAAGCGCTGAACCCCGAAGTGCAGCCACACCGGTGTTGCTCTGCTGTGACATGCAGCACTGCCCTACAAATGGCACCAGCTCCTTCCAGCCCAAAGAACCCAGAGCTTCCTGGTATCATGGGGTGTGCTGTAATCATGGCCCTGATACACCGCAGAGGGGTTTCGCAGGGTTTCCGCCCTGCAGAGCTGCAGCCACAGCACAGGATGCCCGGTGGTGGGAGCAGTGCTTGGAAAATGGAGTGGGATGTAGGGGGTGTAGTGGCTTTGCCCGCATCCCACTGTCCTCAGGAGACTGTCACCAGGCTCTTGTTCCCACTGGGGGCAAAGGGCACGGCAGAAGCCGCTGCTGTGTGTGCTTCCCTCCTGTCCCCACCTCAGCCACGGCTCTGAGTGCTTTAGGGCTCCTTCCATGAATTTTGGGCAGGCAAGAGTAAGGGGAAAAGCTCTTCCAGACAGCATACTTTGGGATGCATTGCTGCTTCACCAGGCTGGCTGCCTTTTGCTGCTCCCTGTCCCTATCAGCTGCCACCAGCACACCTGCTGCAGGGCACCAGGCACAGCGTGTGCTGCCAGCGAGCTGCTCCTGCTGCAGCTGCCATGTCCTCAGCACCCAGCCCTGCACAGAGACACAGGCTCCTGCCTCACTCCAGCCACATGCATGCTACATACAGCACACTCACAGCAGTGCCTGTTCCTCCTGAGGATGAATCACATCGTACGAGGCGTTAAGTCATCACCCAAGAGGAGCACATTTAGCACAGAAAGCAAAATGCCATCTCTTTGAAGGCGAACTCTGTATCAGAAGCCTCAGCCTCTGTTTCCTTGTGGTTAAATAACTGGAATATGAAATTCATAAACCAACCAAAAAGAAAAAAGAAAAAAAAAATTTCTCTTTGTGTTTTCACGTTTGGCAACATGCTTTCACACCCGGATGTCTCCAGAACCATAGGATCATTCAGGTTGGAAAAGATCTCTCAGATCCCCAAGTCCAACCCCACCCCATCACACCACTGACCACCACGGGCCACGTCCCCAAGTGCCACAGTTCTGCAACACCTCCATTCCCTGGGCAGCCTGTGCCTGACCACTCTTTCGAAGAAGAAACTGCTCCTAACATCCAACCTGATGTCTCCACGGCACCCTCCATCACCAGCTGCACAGAGGCTGCCCGCTCTCTGCCCACCTCCTCACGCAGGCAGAGGCAGCACCATCCCAGTTGCATACAGAGCCACAGCACAACCTCACAGCCGTCCTGCAACACCGCAGCCCTCATCCCACATGGAGTGAAGCCCCCTCCCCGTTGCTCAGCACGTGGAGGGGATACAGGGGGGTCTCAGAGCTGACCCCATGCATCCCTGCACTCACCATCCCATGGAGGGCGTGATCTGGCCGACCCCAGCCGGGGGGAGCGGGTAGAAGCCGGGGATGTCGGAGGTCTGGGAAGGTCGATGCACTGCTGGGAGAAGGGAGGAGGAGGTGAGATGGAGACAGCACTGAAATGAACCCTCCCAGCCCCGTATCCTCCTCTGTGAGCACTGCTGGGCAGTGGGGAATGCACATGGAAATGCAATGCTGTTCTTACAGCCCTTGGCCAATCAGTCAGCACCAAGAGCCTGAAAGCAACCAGTGGGGATGCTCCACTGGGGCTCCTCCACTGGGGGATGCTCCAGCAGCATCAGCACTAGCTCACCCAGCCCAGGAGAAGCAGGGATACTTCACAGTTTAATTTTTCTGCAGTCTTGTTGCTCTCTGCCCTGCCCTGGGACCAGCCCCAGGTCTCATCTCTCCAGCCTGGAGCAGCTGAAACTCCGTGCTGGGGCTGCCCAGCAGCTGCCTGGGCACCACCTGCATTTATTGCATGGGAGAAGAGCTGCAGCAGAGCACAGACCCAGAGATCTGGGATGTTCACAGGATTAATGATAAATAAGTATTTAGGAATAACATCACTGGATTCCAAATATCTCAGTAGGTGCTAACTGAACTTGATATATAACTGAACCAAAGGGAAAATGTGAGTGTGAGAATTTACCACAGGTTGGTTAGGACATAGCCCAGAGAGGAACAAAGCCCAAACCTCCGCTCCTCTCCCACCTGTGGGATCTCTGCCTCTGCTAACCTGGAAATCTGCAGGCTTCCTTTCCAGGTGCTGAAATCTGCCATTTGTTGAGAAAATTGCCAATAGATCTGTTAACTCTTCATGCTTTCCTGCTGTATTTATGACACTCAGGTGTTGGACCCAGCAGCACTATGGGCTCTGATGAGCTCCCCATCCCTCCTGGATATTCTGACCCAGCACAATGAATGCACTCAGCGCCACCTGAACCCCAGACCAGCTCTCCGCAAACATCTGAGTGATTCAAACAGACTTGCAGGGATTCTGTTCCGGCAGGAGGCTGAGGAAGCTTTGATTTCACTCTCAGCCTGAAGCCCACAAGAAGAGGTGGTCAGGGGGGAGCTGCTCCCCTGTGCACAGCTCAATCTGACCTATCCGTGCTGTACTTTCCTCTGCAGCCCCACTGGGGGTTGGCGCGTGCCGGACACGCACACACAGGTCCACCCAGAGCTCAGACACCGATCCTATTTAGTCAAAATATTTCCTGTTTCAAGCATTTATTTTCTCAAAATGACAACCTGACAGCAGTTTGGGTATGAGTCAAAGGAAAGACAACTTTCCATTTTCTGGTTGACTCTCACACATCGCCCTGCGGGCTCCGCTCCGGCTTTCGGCTCGTGCGGCCGCTGTGGCCGTCCTGCTGCAGTGTCAGCCCCAGCTGGGGCTCCGAGCAGTGCCCGCTGCTCTGAACCCACTGATGAGCAATTTTGGGTTACCTTGCTTCTGGCTGATGTCAGCGGGCAGATGGGGTGAGTGGGAACCGTGGCTGAAGTGGTCGTTGCTGTAGGGGATGAGCGGTGTGAGCGGGTGCACTCCATGGGACGGCTGCACGACAGGAACTTTGTTGGACTGCAAAGAGAAGGATGGGGGGGGGGAACTCAGGGCTGTGCTGCTGGAAGGAGGACTGCAGCAACCCCAGGGTAGCCACTGCCCCTCTTTGCTTAAACAGACACATCCTGCAAGAAAAGCCCCAAATTAAGTGGCAGCAACAGCTGATGGTGATTGCAGATCAGCTCAAATAACACAAAGCTGATCTAGAATTGTTATTTTTTTCTAATTCATCTCCAGTATCATTTACCCCTGGATGAATGCTAACAGCGTGTCACCCAATGCATTGCTCCAGTTTTCTGCTGTCCTCCCTCCAATCCCCCCCCTCACACACACAGTCCCATGTGTTGCTTTGGTCTGAAGCCGGACTTTCACATCCTGCACATTCACTCTGAAAATTGTGCTCAGGCCTTTGCAGCTGCTCCTGTTAGCAGGACAGGGCCAGGGGGGCCATGCACAATGTGGTACCACTGCGTGGCACAGCAGGGACCCGGCCTGAGCAGCTGCACTGCTGTGAGCAATGTGCACACACAGGCACACACACCTGTGCACACATCCATGCCCACACCTATGCACACACTTGTATGCAAATCCGTGCACAAATCCTGTGCACACATTCACACACTAACCTATCTATGCACACACCCATGGACACACCTATCCACGCACACATCCAGGCACAAATCCATGCACACACCCATACACACACCTATCCATGCACACGTGTGCACACAGTGCACACACACCCCTGCACACAGCCATGCACACACGTGCACGCAGCTGTCTCACCTGCAGCACCCCACACTGCTCCCTGCCTGCCCAATTTTGCCCAGGAGTGCCTTTAAACCCAGACTGCCTTCACCCTGGTAGCACAACAATACCATTTGTCCCATATAACTCCAGAAGGAGAACCAGGAATGGCAGCACTGCTTTGGGAGTAGATAAGAGCGGGGCTGGCAGCTGTTCAGCTCAGCTCCTGTCCCATTGGGGCACCTCCAGAGCACCTCTGCTGCTTTCTGACAGCTCATCTCTGACCTCTGGGTTGATTCACCACTGCCTTTCACTTGGGTCACGATTTTGCTCAGACAGAGCAGCGTGCAGCCCTGCTGGCACCAGGAGGAACCCTGCAATGGGAACAATGGGGCGGGTGGAGATGCCATCCTCCACCTGGCTTTGCTCGTGCAAATAAAAATCAAGAGCTGCAGGTTTGGAGGTATTTAAGAGTGGGTGAGAGCTCCAACTCCTGATGTGAACCAGGTGCATGTTGCCTGCATGTGCTGGGATACAGCAGTGACTGTGCCCCTCCCAGCACAAGCCACCTGGTCCTGTAGTGCCACCAGGTCACTATGGTACCACCCAAGGTACCACCAAGTCCCTGAGGTGCCCGGGCTCCTCACATTACCCAGCACTGTGCAGGCATGGAGCTGCTGCCCATCGCCCTGGTGGGACTCACTGAATGCAAAGAGGAAGGGCTGTGAAGAGGCAGCTCCCACTCTGCAGCAGAAAAATGGCTTCAGTATCTGGTGAGCAAGGAGACAACACAGCTGTGCTAATTGTTAAGAGGGACTAATTGCTGGCAAGGCAAAATGAAGAGACGTCGCTGCTTACATGCGGATATCTGATTGTGATGGAGGCTTGAGGTGAGTGGAAGAACTCGCTTCTGGCTGAGCAGAACTTTTCAGAATTCATCTTTTTTTTTTAATAAAATGTGGCTTTTTCATTAGACAAACGGTGATTCGTTGTAACCAGAAGTTTTCTGGAAAGCACCTGATGGCAGCAGGTGTTTTGACTCATTGTTTAAGATGGAGATGTTTCGCAACAGCACACAGGAATGAGCACTTTGCTGCCTTGCAAGAGTTCAAAGTTTGGAGCTAATGCCAGAAAAATGCAGCAAAAATCAAATGGGAAATGGTTTGAGACTAGGAAAGGGGAGATTTAGATTGGATATAAGGAATATGTTTGTTAAACTGAGGGCAGTGAGGCACAGGCTGCCTGGAGAGGCGGTGGTCCCCATTCCTGCTGACAGCACAGGTCAGACTGGGGGGCTCTGAGCACTGAGCTGTGGGTGTTCATTGCTCATTGTGGGGAGAGAGACCAGGCAGCCTTTAGAGGGCTCTTCCAACCCAAACCAAGCCATGATTCTATGGTCGTGTGACTAAAACCCAGAATTAGTGTGAAATGGCCAATACCGAGAATTTTCATGGGCTATAATACAAAGAATATTAGTTTTAGCTGTGAAAATATTACAAAAAATACACAGATGGTTTTCAGCTTGGGTTAGTTTAGAAGAAGAAAGAGATTTTTTTTAAAAAGAAGTGAATTTTTGGTGAAGCTGGGTAAAGCACACCTTGCTACAGCTCTAAGCATCCCAGCATCTAGTGCTGCCTCAGGGCTGGCACAGGGCAAGATTTTGGGTTAATTTTTGGGTAGAAGACAAATCAGAACTAAACCAAAGCAGCACAACCCCGCTGATCTCCCACCATGTGGTGCTCAAGGCGTGAAGAGCTCTGGATGGACTTTGGTGGTCGCCCACTGAGCAGCCAGGGCTCAGTCTGGCACTGCACTGCACAGAGGGTCCCCACTGCTCCCTTCCCATCGTCTGCTTGTTAAAACAGAAAGAGATAAAAGAACAGACAGTGCTTGGTGAGCGTGTTATAGAAGAGCAGATCACACAAACCAAACAGGGAGCTCATCTCACAAGGCCAATTTAGATCGGTGCTGTTGCACAAAGGCACAAAGCATCCTTCCTAGGAACGACCCCTCTCATTGGTTTGACAGCCATAGGGAACCTCACAGCCATGGGGGACCTTACACAAAGGGGACCTGAAACACAAGGGAGACACTGTGGACCCCACGTGCAGTGGGGAAGATGTGCTCTTAAGAGACCCAACGCATGGAGAGAACCCTGTGAACACTGGGGGACAACACTCACACAGGGGCCGCAAAAGCACAAGGTGCCCTATGCACACAGTGGACCCTATTCATATTGGGGACCCCACACACTTTGGGAGCTGCGGGAGGGGGCTGACCCCACACAGTGCCCCTGCTCAACCCGGCTGGCAGCACCCAGGGGTGCACAGGACCCGGGCGTGCAGTGCAGCACCCAGAGCACTGTGGTTTGCAGCACCGGTGGGGAACGGAGCCACAGCCGGGCCAGATCACTCACAGCACTTTCAAACAGTCCCACACTGCTGGCCCCAAAAAGAGTGAAATGACAAAGCTGTGCAGTGTGGGGCCTGGGCAGGGACTGGTGCTTGGGGTGCACCGGGGTCTGGGCATCCCCAGCTATGTGCATCAGCACCAAGAAACCGCCTCAGCAAAGCGACGGGCAGAGCAGTGCTGCGGGCTGCAGCCAGGAGTCAGCCCAGTGTTGGCTTCAACGTCACTTCTCAGAGAGAGAGATGAGTCTACGCGTTGGCTATGCAAAACAAAACCTACGGAGTTCGCTGCTGCTGATTCAATGAGGAATTAATTCCTTTTCTCTGCAGAATTAGTCACTGTGCCGCAGAGACAGAGGCAGCAGGTCAGGCTGCAGCGAGCCAGCACTGCTCTGCCTTCTGCCCCGTATCCAAACATCTGTTCAAATCAGCAAAGGGGCTGGGAGCATCCTGCAGTGTGGGATCATCGATGTGGGGCTCAGGGCTGTGCTTCGGGGCTCTCAGGTACGGGACCTGGAGAGCTCTGCACAGCTTCAGGGCACCTCTGCATCCTGAGCAAACCTCCCAGTTTGGGGCAATGTGAATAAACCTAACCCAGCCTCCATCGGGGGGCAGACATTGCAATGAGACCCTGTTCTGCAAGCACTGAGGCCAGCAGCATCTGCTCATTTCTCCTCACAGCGCTGGTTTGTTGTGTTTTTTTTTTTTCTCTTTTCTCACTTTTGCTGCAGTCAGATTGCCTCGCCACTGCCACGGCAGAAAGGAAGAAGGGAAAGTTAAAGTCACCCACGTCAGCACTGCCCTCACCCCAGCAGCTCTGGTGTCAGCAGGGCCACATCGCCCCATGGGGACGGGCACCCGTGGGGACTGCCCCAAACCTGTCCCCATCTCATGGCACACACAGCATCACAGAGTCACGGAACCACAGGGGCAGGAAGGGACATCTGCATATTCCCCCAAATCCAACCCTTACCTGAGAGTCTCTGGGCTCTCTCCAGCAGTTCCACATCTTCCTGCAGCTGGGGAGCCCCACACTGGGCACAGTGCTCCAGATGTGCCCTCCTCAGAGCAGAGCAGAGGGGAGGACACCCTCCCTCCCTTGCTGGCCATGCTCTATGCCATGCATCCCAGGGCACCACTGGCCTTCTTGGCCACAAGGGCACACTGTTTGCTCATGGTCGATTGGTCAACTGCTGGTCAACCACTGGTGAACTGCTGGTCAATCACTGGCCACCAGGACACCCAGGTCCTTCTCCAGCAGCCCCCAGCCTACACTGATGCATGCAGTTATTCCTCATCCTGCATTGCTTATGGAGGGGAATATCCATTTGATTCCTTCAAAACCATAAATTCTGCACGCAAATAGCATCAAAGGAGGACAAATACAGGGAAATAACTTAAATAATTTTAGAAGCCTCAATGAACTGATGGTTGCAGATCTGGTATGTGGCCTGGTGCTCTGTTGATATGAGAGCCTCATGATCCCTAGAAGAGCTGCAGATGCTCAGCACTGGGTCCCACTGCAGCTGCTGCTGGCTTTAAGAAGTAAGGGTTACTGTTTTTAAGTTCAGCTCTGTGGGGAAATGGCTGAGCTTTGCACCGTTTACGGGCACAGGAAGAGCCGTTTCGCTTCTCAAGTATTTATCTTCTAAGAGAAAAATGTAGGTGGTTCTTCATGAAGAAAATGAAGGCATGGAAAAATAAAATAAAAAGTGCTCTTGGGGTGACAGAGGGCAAGCGTGGAGGCAATAATTCCCCAAACCAGAGAAATCCCCTGAAAAATGAATGTGTGGCATCCCACGGATGCCATCCCATGTCAGAGAGGACACCTCTGCCCAGAGCTGCTCCCCACCTCCGCTGCCC